CATTAAATATTTAAAAATTAAATAAATAACAATTATATATAATTCATAATATTAATATCGAATTATTTTAGTACTAAATGTTTTTATAATATCTACTATGTATATTAAAATTTATTAAATAATTTATTTTTTTTCAAATCTGGATATATATTTCGGTCAATATACTTGACCGAAATAACTTGAAAATTTTCGTCAATTTCACCCCCATAAAATTTCCACCCAAATTTTAAAAATTTCTGCCAATATATTTCAATCAATATACTTGACTGAAATATATTGGAAATTTTTGCCAATTTCACCTGCCTAAAATTTCCACCAAAAATTTAATATTTTTTTCCAATATATTTTGGTCAATAATATTGACCGAAATACATATCAAAAATTCCAACACATCTTGAAAATTTTGGCCATATATTTCGATCACTTTACTTGACCGAGATTGGGTTAGGATAAGTGTTTTTGTGCTCTTATTTCGGTTAGTTATTAACCCCAAAAAAATTATTTCGAATACCAAAAATAGCCCTCCCTTTAATTTGGTCAATTATATTGACCAAAATTTTTACTTAAAATATTATTATTTAATTCGGCCAAATTACTTGTCCTAATATAAGTAGTTATTTAATGATTTTCCCACTCACATTTTGGGTCAGTTATATTAACAGAATTGATGAGTTATTTCAATTAAGTTGAAATTTTGTTAGAAATACTATTTTGTACAGAGGCTTTTCGAGCTATACATTTCAGTTAGTGGTTTTGACCGAAGTTTGATTTATTTCATCATATAGAGCACTATTTCGGTCAATACGATTGATCGAAATGTACCCTAAATCTAGTAGTGTCAATTTCATCTAGTTCGTTATCTTTAACGGAAATGTTAATTATCTTTAAGGAATCTTCTTATTTTATAAGAAAATATTTAGTCCTCTAATTATATTTTTTTTTTATATTTTAGTCCTTAAATTTATATTCACAGTAAAAATGGTTTTTATTATTATCTTGCTAGATATGTTTTTCATAAAATTATTTTACAAAGCGGATCATATGCAATCCGTCCTGTAAAACTATTTAAATTCCCTTAATTTTATTTTTATATTATTTTTTAGAGACAGTTAAATAATTTTACAAAACAAACTACATACAATCTATTATGTAAAATAGACTTACTGTTAAAACTTCTTGTTCTAAACTTACTTAAGTTTTTTTGTTTGTAAGTTTTTTTGTTTAAATTGAGCTAGTTGCTCAAGTTTATTGCAAATTCTAACTAATCTATCCCTATAAAATATTTCTTGAGTCATCATATTTTATTAAAATTATAGTGTCACTATTTCAAAATTTAAAGGACTACTCTTTTCGTTAAATCTAACAAAATTTTATACACTAAACTATTTTGAAATATGCTCCAAAGTTTATAAATCATTTGAAAGAAAATAAACCTTTTAGACTAAAATGAAATTAAGTTGATAGTTAACAGACTAAAAATTGAATTAAGCCAATTTTTTATATATGAATTGTATCACTGTCCAACTTCAAAAATTTAAGAATTCAAAATAAAACTCTTTTATAAATTTTGAGATGGGTACAAAAGATATTTAAGAAAGAAAATTTTTATATTCAACTAAAAAAATCATTATTTACTATAGACAACATAATTATATTTTTTTAAAAGTACATAATGATATTTAATTTTTTTTTAAATTAATACACAACATGTGATTACAAAAGTAGAAAAAAGTGTTTAGTGGGGGGGGGGTGTTTCTCTCTTGTTGCACTAAATTGCAAAAAATGAAAAGGGTCCATTGTAATAAACGAAAACATAAATTTTGGATCCGAGTTGATGGACCGGACCCAGGATATTAATTTTTGAATTATTAACATTTGGGAGTACCGGCCCACGTGTCCCCTGTGCAGAAGTCAGGTTTCTCTACATCAAAATCAACAACATGGCTTCTTTCGATTTTGCAGAATGTGTAGGAAAATAGGGATTCATCTAAATTAACAAACGTACAATTTTATTTTTTTAATTTTCACTGTCTTTTCATTGAAGATATAATGTTTTTTTTTTTTTTTTCATACCGTTAATGGTTATTAATTTCTAATTATTTATTTAATTATTTCAAAATTTTGTTCACT